TGCGGGGCACCTGGCTCTAATGCAGAGTGTGCAGACAACAGAACGCCCCATGACACACAGCTCCTGCCTCACTGCACATCCACCAGGTGTCCCTTCATTTTATCACAAGTAGGGGTGTGACGAGATGGGCTAGGCCCAAAGCCCCCTGCTGGAGGCTGGTGGCTTTGCCACATTCTGCTCCAGGGAAAAGAGCAGAGGAGAGGTCCTCCAAGCAAGCTAGAGTGGCTGCTCCAGTATAAAGAAGCTGCTGGGCCAGGGTGTGGCAGTTCCTCTTTGGAGCTCAAGTCAAGCAGACCCAGGGACAGTCTGGGAAACAGCAGCCCCTTGGATAGTTCTGAATGTGGGCTGGATTGCAGACCTGGCTGAAGGTCCAGAGGCTGAAGACCGGCTGTGGTGAACTATGGCAAATTGCAGAACCCTGGACAGGGTGATGTGAGGCCTTTCTCTTAAAGCCTTGAAGGAGTGGGTGGATGGAGAAGCTTCTTGGGGGAGTGGCCCAGTGGGCGAGTAATGACACTTAGTGGACAACTGTTATTTACAGAGTCCCTGGGCCAGGACCCAAAGGAGTGGGCAGGCCTGGCCCCGCCCCATGTCCCAGTAGCTACACAAGGGGGTAAGAAGAACCCTGTTTCCAGGCAACCAAGAAGAAAGGGCATCTGGGATACCTCCCCTCCCAGAGCCAGTTGGAGCAGAGGAGCTTGTGGACACACGTCCTCAGCACCAAAGGGGCACTCGAGAGTGGATGAGCTCTTCACGGGCGGAGGGGAAGGGCACACTGTACTTTGAAGCAGCTAGTAAGCAAAAGCCGGCAGAAGCTGAGATACACTCACCAATGGTAACGAGTCAGATCGTTAAAGGGACAACAGAAAAATCAGTAATCAGCTAGCTCCGCGCCGCTCGGCAATGTATCAGGGAAATGCCAGCACGGAGCTGCAGGAAGCAAGTGGGGATTTAATAGCTCCCCCACGTATTTTCCCCTTCAAGTGGTAACAAGCTGTCCTCCAGTTCCCCCTGAGTGGCTCCTCATTACAGAGCTCATCAGGGTTTTTTCTGTCAGTGGAATAGTGTAGCGTTCGAAGGACAGGCTCTGTCAAGGGAGAGAACCACAAGCAGGCTCCACAGAGCCACCCGTCTCTGCTCTTCAGAGCGCTTGTTCCCCACTTGAGAGAGAGAGGTGTCTTTTTGCCTTCCTCCAGGCACTAATGAGATGCCACAAAAAGCGTCAAAGAAAGCAACATGGCTCCCTCTCTGATGAAGGGGTCGGTACCAGAGAGTCTCCCTTTGGAGCTAGCTGTGGAGAGAGGAGCAGACAGGTTTTCCACCAAAGGATTTGGCAGTTGTAATTTTGTCATGCCACACCTCCGCTTTTCCACGTTTGGCTTTGCTCTTTGGGGCGTGTGTGTGAGCACCGCTCGGCTCTTCCTCAGAGCAGCGCTTCTGATTTCGGAGCAGATCGGAGGGGGTAGGGGGAAGATAGCAGACACTAATCAGGGCTTCATGACAGTAAGGCATGGTTGCATGGTGGTGTTCTGTGTAATCACATGGGCTGTGTCTAGACTGCATCCCTTTTCCGTAAAAGGGATGCAAATTAGACACAGCACAATTGCAAACGAAGCGGAGATTTAAATCCCCCCAGCTTCATTTGCATAAACATGGCTGCCGCTTTTTTCCGGCTCGGAGCTTTGCCGGAAAAAAGCGCCAGTCTAGATGGGGATCTTTCGGAAAATAAAGCCTTTTCTGAAAGATCCCTTATTCCTCTTAAAAGACTGGCGCTTTTTTCTGCCAAAGCTCTGAGCCGGAAAAAAGCGGCAGCCATGTTTATGCAAATGAAGCTGGGGGGATTTAAATCTCCGCTTCGTTTGCAATTGTGCTGTGTCTAATTTGCATCCCTTTTACGGAAAAGGGATGCAGTCTAGACACAGGCACATAGTCCACATATCAGAGGCCTCTCTAGGCCCTTGGGCTGCTTCTTTCTCTCCTGGATTATACACAGAGGCTCTGTCTACGCCGCAGAGTTTTTGTACAAGAAGCCTTTTGCGGAAGAGACTTTCTGCAAAAACTTATTGCACAAAAGCGCATCCAGACCTCAAGGTGCATTGCAAAAGTGATGTGCTGTTGCTCAAGAGAGCGCTTCAAAGACCTTTTAAGGCTTCACTTCAAAGAGAATCCTCTGAACTGTCATTCATGCTTAATTCGACACTTTACACTCAAATTTGAATAAAGGCACTAATTATCTTACCCATTACAAAGATAGCTTCCCCAATTATCACCTCTAATATCATTAGCTCACAGACATTTACCTCCTTTCCTTCTCCCCCCGATCCCCCTTCTGTTCTGAAATTTGATTTGTCCTTTTCATATGTGTTCATTTTTTAAATTTTATCCTTTGGTATATATGGTTGTGACAATTTTCTTCCACTATTTGATCTGAGGAAGTGGGTCTGGCCCACAAAAGCTCATCACCTAATAAACCATCTTGTTAGTCTTTAAAGTGCTACACAGTCCTGTTTTTTGTTTCAGCTGCACCAGACTAACACGGCTACATTTCTACCACACTGCATGGACGCTCTTGCGCAAGAAAGCTCTGATGGCCATTCACAGCTCTGTGCCACCCAAACCCTTCTCTTCTGCCCATTTACTTGTGCAAAAGCACACTTGAGGTGTGGGCGCTCCACTGGTTTTTGCGCAGAAAGGTTCAGTTTTGCACAAAAACCTTGTAGAGTAGATGTAGCCAGAGAATTTAACCTTAGCGACATGATGCATTATAGGATTCCCCTCCTGCTTTGTTCCCCCAGTCTTGGAGGAGACACGTGCAGTTCCCAAGGCCAGGGAGTCAACTCCACTCTCTCAGCCAATCTAAGCACTCCCAGCCCCAAAGAAGTCCATGTCACTGGTCCAATCCATGATTTGGAAATCCAAGTGTTAGTCAGAAAGGGAGATTTGCAACTGGCTGCTCTTTGACAAGTGCGGTGTCGACACAAACATCCTGCAGGTAATGAACGAGGAGGGAGAATCCTAGCATATTTGGCTGTTATTGACGTCAAAGAGCAGAGCTCATTTCAAGACACGCACTCAACACACACTTCTCCCTGGACATAATGTACCTCCAGGGCTCTTCTGGCATCACAGACCAGCCGGGCAATTTATTTCTAGATGTCCAGGCTTGTCAATAGCCACCTTTATGTGGAGTGTTTAATGTCCAGAACTGAGCAAATGGACTGAAAATGTTACCTCCTGAAAAACTGAATAAAAGGTCCCGGTCTGGCTGGTAAAGCCATTCGCTTTTCATTAGCAATGTGGCCCCTGCTTTAGTGAGTGATTTATTCCTGGACCAGCGGTGGTTCCTGCCTGTGGATTTAGAAGCACTTGCCAAAAGTTTCACCCAAACCTTTGGTTTGTGTTTTGGCCATAAATGTGGCCCCTGGCTTGCCAGGATCCAGCCCCTTGAGGCTCAGTGTTCTCCCCTCCCTCCACAGCAGGGAGCCATTGCTGGAACTCCCGCCCCCGCAAGACTGGAGCACCAGCGCTGGCTCAGGGGGAAGAGCCCCGAACCCTGGAGCTGGATCCAACTCGTGGGCTCTGCCAGGCTGGGGAGGAAGTGAAGCCATGAACTGCTGCACCCTCTCCAGTGAGAGGCTTTCCCTCCGCCGCTCTGATTGGGTGCAATTGAGACCAATAGGAGCAGCAGGGGGTGGTGCCTGGGAGCAGCATGGGACACAGAGCTATGTGCATACCCGGGGAACAGCACCAGATAAGCACCCTCGCCCCCCAGATGCTCCTGCACCCCCAGGCCATTCCTGCACCCTACCACCATCCCAAACCCCACAGCCCTCTTCCCGGCAGCCGCCTCCCACACAGTGAACTCCTCATTTTTGTGCCCCACCCCAGAGCATGAGGAGGCCCACAAAATCTACTACCCTGGGTCCCCTAAGCTCTGATGTGTGAGGGGAATGTGAGGAGGGTCTTTGTGTGGCCCTGACTGATTTTTCTGTGGGTGAGCAGCCCCCCAAAAGCTCAAAACCCCAAAAAGGTTCCCCATTCCTGCGATATGCCCTATGGTGGATAGGGATTAGCTGTCTGGATTTAGCCATGGAGCTGTTTTATAATCTTACCACCAGGTGAAGGGAAGAGAGAGGAGATGAAATGCAAGAGGGGGCTTATCATACATGGGTTTGATCAAAACAGGGTTTATACCCACCTTCTACAGAGCCTCACCTTCCCTGGGCCCAGTTTGCTCCCTGTGTGGGCCCATGTCCTGCCTGCTCCCCACAGGGAAGTGCACAAGTGGGGAGAGCTTCTCTCCGCCCCACAGCCTCACTGGGCCCCAAGCTGTGGGGGGGAAGAGCCAGTGCCTCTGGCCATGAGGAGAAGGGGTGGTGGAGGAAAGCCAGCTCTCCCAGTGGTGGTGGGGTGGGAGGAGGAAAAAGCTAGCTTCATCGGCTATGGCAGGGGAGGAGGTGGTGGGGGGAGAGCCAGCTTCTCCAGCCCCGGGGGGGCATAGAAAAGCTCTTCCAAAAAAGGCCACATTTTGATTCCTGTGCATGCCCTAGCCTGCCTGCATTTTCTGCTCACAGCTGCACTGCTTGTGGTTTGGGAGGGAATGCCTAGCTTCATGCAGCAGCTGTTACCCAAAGGAGGTGGGGCGGTGACAGACCCCACACACCCTTTTTTGACCAATGAAGATGGCTGGGAGCAAGGGGCTGCTTGTTTCCTTAGCGGCTCTTGGAAGTCATAGGTTTTCCTGGGGCATATGCCTCCCACAGCTTTCCGCAGGGCTCTTTGTTTCTACATCGCTGTAGCATATTGGGAATTAAACCCAACAAGAACAAAACGCTGCTAGATTACGCACTATTTCAGGAGAGGATTTTGGCTTCATGCTTAATGCAGCCACTGATGAACAATCCCCGGGGGGTGAAAAAAAATGCTTCCAGATGGAAAAGTTGTGTGTAATGGACTAGCAGCTCATAACACAATCAATCATTCTGTATTGAAATCCCCAGCTGATGTGGACAAGGCTGGATTGGAGGCGCTTTAAAGGAATGCAGAAACATTGAGCATACACATTTGTCTGTAGCTATGGCTGGGGGTAAGTTTTCAGACAACACTGCTTTTTTGTGCCCTCCCCCTCTAAAATGCAGATTCTAGTAAAAGAAAACATTTCCTGAAATTGCATCAAACTTGCAGAACTGTTTTGGTTAAAAAAAAATTAGACCAAGTGGAATTAATAATGGAGATTGCCTATCTCCTAGAACTGGAAGGGACCTTGAAAGGTCATCGAGTCCAGTCCCCTGCCTTCACAGCAGGACCACGTACCATCCCTGACAAATTTTTGCCCCAAATCCAGGTGCATTTGCTTTTTCAAGCTGAAGTGACTTTTTCACTTCTAACTTAGTTTTGGTTGTATTTGTAAACAAAGATACAAAAAAGTCCTCCAAAGTGAAATGTAACCTGTCTTTTCACTCCAAACAGAATATTTCATTTGCTCCAAATCTATTGTTTGAAAAATTGTTTTGTTTGTCAAAATACGTGTAACAATTTTGTTTCAGGTGGATGCGAAATGATGGAGTTGATTGACCTTATACTTCGGGCACTGACCCGAAAAATCGGTTAGTTGCACTGCGATGAATCCCCCAGGCTGCAACCTCCAATTGGGATACCACTGAGGTCTCTGACTTGCCAGCCTCAGTTCCCTCTTGCACTCTGCTGCTATTATAACTCACATACGGAGGCTACGTCTACACTGCAGGCTGAGTGGCCTGAGAAGTACCTTGCTCTGTCAAATGTTGATTACCATTCAGCTGCCTGCACAAGCTCCCTCTGTGCACTGCCCCAGCATAGCAAACTCTGAGAAAACCGCAGTGGCCACAAAATCAGATAAGGTACAAAGGCCAAATGCAGCACAGTCTCCGGCTCCCTGAATCCGATGTCTGCAGCGCTGCTAGTATGTGAATGCCCCCAGTAATGGACCAGCTCAATCGTCAGCAATTTCCACGCCCCCAGGCTGGACAGAGACAGCTCCTCGCAGCTACATCTATATACACATAAGTTACGCGTCACTCCTGTTGTACCTGGGTGCCACCCAATACCTTCTACATGCTGGTTTGATCAAAACATCCCTATCCACCCTGCTGTCATGCTGACCTTACCCTGAGGATGGGTCATTATGCTCTTGTTCTCTATAGGAAGTGTGCTTGTACCAAGAGCTTTCCTAACAGGGTTTTCAGGTGCTATTGTAACTGCCACCAGGTGCATTTGAACCTGGGACCTCTAGAGCTTAGTGTCAGAGCCTCTACAGCTTGAGATATAAAATCAACTGGCTCCCAGCTTAGGCTGTAGAGCTCCCTTGTTCTTATCTCTCGCTGTAAGTGGTCTAAGTGTCACAACATGGGACAGTGAACCACACTAGGGCTATGTCTACACTCGCGGCTTCTTGCGCAAGTAATATGCAAATGAGGCTAAGCGTGGAATATCGCCGAGCCTCATTTGCATACCTAATGAGCCACCATTTTTTTCAGAAGAGGCTCATGCTCAAGAAGGAGTGTCTACACTGTCCCTTCTTGCGCAAGAAAAACCCTCTTGCGCAATGCCGTTACACCTATTACTTTTCAGGAAGAACGGCGTTGCGCAAGAGGGATTTTCTTGTGCAAGAAGGGGCAGTTTAGACGCTCCTTGTTGCGCAAGAGCCTCTTCTGAAAAAAATGGTGGCTCATTAGGTATGCGAATGAGGCTTGGCGATATTTCACGCTTAGCCTCATTTGCGTACTACTCGCGCGAGAAGCCGCGAGTGTAGACATAGCCTGGGTGTGTGGGTTACACTATCCTAGAGTGTGTTTACATGATTTGTGCCTAGTACCCTGAGGTGTGTTTCTGAAATATCAGCCCTAGTCTGGCCAGATTCTGTGATCAGGGCCTGCCTCCTGCTCACAGCTCAACTTCGCTTGATATTAGCTTGACTACTTTTGCTCAGGCCTCAGGCCTCACAGTAGGCCTGTGACGCATGGGCTTATGTTTCAGGCCCTCTTCTTACGACAACTTCCACCAGCATTCACAGAGGCGTGAACACAGCCGGCTGTACTTACGTGCAGACTCTGGCCAGCCACTGCATGAACCAGCAGTAGAGAAACTGCAGCCCCAAATACATCCAGCTCCAGTGTTCCCTGTCAGCTGGGTGCTCGTGCAGCTGTTCAGAAGAAATTCAAATGCCTCCCAGCTGATTAGCAGAGTGCCCATAGCCCGGTTTTCTTGATTCTATTGGTGGTGCACGTTCACCCATGTCTTGGTTGACATCATAGGCATTTGTCGACCACCCCGGTAAACCTCATCCCATGAGGCATTACGGGGCGGTTGACAAATGCCTTTGATGTCGACTGCGGAGCGTCCAGACTAGCGCTGATCGGCTCAGTGCGGCAGCCATTTTAATTTAAATGAAGCAGCGATTATTTAAATTGCCACTTCATTTGGGTCTGTCTAGTAAACTAATCTACATGGGTTTGGCGACAGAGCCATGTAGTCTAGACATACCCTTAGGGTATGTCTACACTACCACCCTAGTTCAAACTAGGGTGGTTAATGTAGTCAATCGAAGTTGCAAATGAAGCCCGGGATTTAAATATCCCGGGCTTCATTTGCATCTTGCCAGGCGCCGCCATTTTTAAATCCCCACTAGTTCGGACTCCGTGCCCGCGGCTACACAAGGCACAGAGTAGGTAGTTCGAATTAGGCTTTCTAATTTGAACTACTGTTACACCTTGTTCCACGAGAAGTAGCGGTAGTTCAAATTAGAAAGCCTAATTCGAACTACCTACTCCATGCCGTGTGTAGCCGCGGGCACGGAGTCCGAACTACCGGGGATTTAAAAATGGCGGCGCCCGGCAAGATGCAAATGAAGCCCGGGATATTTAAATCCCGGGCTTCATTTGCAACTTCGATTGACTACATTAACCACCCTAGTTTGAACTAAGGTAGTAGTGTAGACATACCCTTAGAGTGATAGCTCACAAGGCCAGCTTTTACAAAACCTATGATTACATCACCATGCTAAATATGGGGTGCTAGGTTGCGGTTTGGGGCACAGAGTGTCACATACATGCAACTCGCTTCATGTATGAGTCAAACAAATGATTCTGCCAGAGCAGACCTCCTTGCCTGCTGCAAACAAACAATGAAGAGAACTGCTGTCTTTCTCTCTGGTCTGTATTTCGGCCCAGCAATGTTTGAAAATAAGTTACAGTGAAACCTGTGTTATCCTACATGCTCGGGGATTAGGGCGTTCTGGTTATCTAAAAATTCCGGTTATCTGAGGGTCCCATCAACCTAGGAAAAACCATTGGACAATAATAGTAAATCTCAAGTTTTTAATATTGGTAGTTTTGTAGTGTGAGGCAGTTTGTCTCACATTTCTATTCTGAGTTAAAGATGATTAGTACTTCTTAAATAAAAAATTGTTAAGCCAATCATGGTACATCAAGCCAGGCCTGTGCGCCTGAAGACGTGACAGTATTGTGGCTGGGGGCAATGCTGGTTAACAACGTTTTCTGGTTAACAGAGTGCTGGATAACAAAGCTTTCACTGTATATAGGTAAGTATAGCTAGTTGGCTGGCTATGTTTGCTTTTTCTTTTGATACAAACACCTCTGCATCCAATATTGTGACTTCGCTGAGACAGGACAGACTCCTATCTATTTGCGCTCTTCAAAGAGCTGCATCCTCCATGTCGTTCTTTTGAGAAAACGACGTGTTTATTGATATCACCAGAAACAGATTCCTTTCTTTATTCTGTTTTATTTAGCTGCAGCACAATCCAGCCAAGACCTGGAAGGGCTTGCTAATAACATGTGCAGCAAAGAGATGGGCTTTGAATTCTATAGGGCGTCTCTAGGATTAAAAGGGAACAGATAATCACAATGATGCTATATCGTTTTTCTAATCCTGGGTCCAACATTTGTCATGCAGAAATCTAGACTCGATAATGCTGGGTGTTCCACTTCATTTGGTTGCTATTAGAAGCCATCTGGAGCTCAACAACGAAGGAGTGTTGTCAGAAATATTTCACGTCAAGCAGAAAATGTTGTTATTAATTAATTGAGCTCTGTAAATGTACCTAGTAATTTACATAAAAGACACGGTCTTTACTTCAAAGAGTTGCCAATCTAGGTACAGTCTAAAAATATACTTATGATTAAAAGGGTGCAGTCAAAAATATGCTTTTCATAGTTCTTCAGACAACCACCTGGAAGAAGTCAATTAAACTCTTTTACCTCTCTGACGTGTATTCTGCTCTGCTTTTTTCATGCTCACATCCAAGGCTCCTTATAAATAAACAGGGACCAGAAGGGAGGCAGTGTAGTCTAATGGATAAAGCACTGGGCTGGACATCTAGAGAGCTGGTATTTCTAGCTCTGCCACTGATCTGTTGGTTGGCCTTAAGCAAGTCACTTCATCCTCCCGTGCTTCTGTTTCCCTTCTCACCTGAAACTTTCAGGTCTATTTAGATTGCAGGGACTTTCTCTCACTAAGTGTTTGTACAGTACCGAGCACAACGGGACCTCATCACTGAGGCGTCTCGATGCTACTGCAAAGTCATTCTGAAATTGCTATGGCAGTGACTCAGTCTGCTTTTAGAGCCTTTAAGTTTTCACTTGAAAAATTGTGTTTCTAGCCCTGAGGGTTTAGACATTAATCTTGCACACCATCGTGTCCCTGGTGACCAACAAGAGGCAGGAGTCAGTTGCAGCAAACTCAACTAGAGTATTTTATTTAGCATGCTGGGTACAAGTAATGTGAGTTGACAGTGTTCCCATAGCAGCTCTGCTTAAATCTTGGCCTGGATTACTCACTCATGGAATGGGTTGAAGTCCACAGTTCACTAATGTGGCATAAATAACTATATTGACATGAATAACCAGTCCTAAACACTCAAAAATCATGTGTCAGGCTCCCAGATAACCCAAGCCTGGCTTCAAAATCTTGAGATTTTAGAAATGAATGTGTCTATCTGTGCCTCTTTGTATTCAGCTTCTGGTTTTTGAGCTTTTGTGGATCACACTTTAAAGACTTTTCTTGCAACTACAAGGGTCAGAAGCGCAACTTTAAAGAAAGAAAGTTGAGGTTCTCCTATAATCACATGACTCCAGGAGCTGGGACTATAAGAAAAACTCCAGATACTGTGAGACTTGTGATGAAAAAATGTGTGTGTTGTGAATACTGTAACATTCTTCTCTGATTGACTGACTTGCTTGAGACTTCAAGCAATAGCTCAGTGTGTCGTTAACTCTGGAACCTAATGATTCCACTACCAACTAGGTCACTGCCTCTTGATTGTGATTGGATGAAGTTAGAAATGAAAGAGAGGAAGTTTGATGAACAGGATTCAAATACAATTCCCACTCACACCAAATTCTTATTGAATTTGCTTATAACCCCACAGATAGACACGCTATCTATTATTAAAGGGTTGTCTGTGACTTTTGCGTCGCCCACATTGGCGATACTACTGTTGTTCATGAGTACTGGGTTTCTCATGTGGGTTACAACCAATAGGATTTTTTTTTCACAAGGAGTCATTTTATAGCCTGGATTGACTTGTTTTGAACAATATAGAGACTTTGCAAGCAACCACATCGAAATAGACTAAATAGGCCCCCTGATAAACAGCACACAGAGTTCCTGGGAGGACTGCCAGGGAACAGATTCAACACAATATACTTAAATGTCTCTAAGCAACAGATAAATGGATCACCTAGCCTGTTTAAGTGGCACAAGTGGGGTGGTACATAAGCCTTATAATCATGGCAGGGTAAGGTAAGTGTGAATTGCTTAATGAATTTGCCAGTTTGATACACTTTATTCACTCCGGATTCTTCCCGGCTCTGTTAAGACAGCCGGATGACTCACATTTGCCTGAAGTACATGTTTTAGAAAATGTTTTAATACTTAGAATTGTAGAAATGTCAGGTGGGAGGGGACCCCGAGTGATCACCAAGTCAAACTCCTTGTGCTGTGGCAGGACTGAGGAAAACTAGCCCAATCCTGAAAGAGATTGGTCCAGTCTTTTTTCTTAAAAACTTCCAGTGACGAGGATTTGAACCTACATCTCCCGTACTGCCAACGAAGCCCATGACTTCTACTTTCACTGAAGAGGGACAAGAGCCCTTAACACAGTTGAAGACGGTTCTCAAGTCCCTCCTCAGTCTTCTTTTCTCAAGACACAGTGGCTGCGTCTCCACAGTGGCATGTACCTCGAAATAAGCAATGCAATTTGTGCCACACACATTGCGGAGCTTATTTCATAGAATCATAGAACCTTAGAGCTGGAAGAGACCTCAGAAGG